CAGGGACCAGGCCCAGCTCACACCACAATTCATGGGCACCCACATTTCCTCCCCTTGTTTGCAGGCTGGGAACACATCAGTGTGTTCACTCCTAGACAAAACAGTGATTAGAATGATTCCCTCTCTCCTCCCGTTTTTAAGGAATTTTAAATAACTCCAATGGTGGCTGAGTCTCTTTTGTCCCACATTCAATTATTTGGAGGCATAAAAAAACCAATAACCACAAACTCTAGGAGGTTTGTTAGAATGCTTTGCTACCTAAAATACCTTGCAAAACCCACATCAGCAGTAGTTTTGTAAAATACAGCATAAAATTCTCAAGCTGCTGCAACAGTGTTTAAGAGCATCTATTTACAATTGGAAAGTCTACATCAATAATCACTAAAAATTAATAAACAATGACGAAATTTTAAAGACATTTAAGGCTATTTGCACAAAAGGTAAAATACTGGTTGAACAATGCTTTTTTCTTAGATAAATCTTCTGCAATATTTTGACAAGACAAGGTCCACCTCAAAAGTAACACTGACTGTAGAAAAAGATGCTGCTCTATTTGGTAAGGTTCAAACACTAAATGTTRTGCAAAGTAGTGTGGGAGCCAAGATATGGATTAATAGAGAACAAAAGCTAAAATTTGAAAGTAAAAACTGAAGGAAAAGAGGGAACTAGCAAACATACACATAAACCAGACAGATCCAAACATAATGCAAATTGATAAACCAGGAAGTGATATAATGAATGAACATYAACTGTTTACTTCTGGTTCAATTAATGTTGTGACAAAATAGATCACAGATTTTGGATTTTTTCCCTGCAGTAGAACGGTCACAGAACTCACAGACACTGCTGAGCCCCAATGTGCCCAGACCTGCTTCACATTCCCGGGGATCTGCAGCACCTCTAATGAAATAACCAAGCCCCAGCAAGGATCCTGGACAAAGGAACCAGAAAGAGGGATTTCTGAATGTTCATTTGTCTCCAAAATAAAGTTGCTATTCTTCAGGAAGATCTGAAAGGCACAGAGCAGTTTCCAGTTTTGCTCTGACTTTYTTACAGTCACATCACTCCTAATTTATTTCAACATATGAATGATTTTGCCACAAAACACATCTTGACTGACTTTTACTGATAGTGAAAACATGATTTCTGGCTGCTTAAAATAACAATATAAAAAAGAATTGTTTCTTGCATGCATCCTTTTAGAACAGTTTTGAAATAAGYTTCGGATCCAACTTCAGAAATTAGAAAATATAGTAAAAAATTCAGTCCCTTGGCTCTTTACATTCTCATCAAGATGTGACAGATTTTCAGTTAATCTCTGTAAGTTAGAACAAACAAACGTGTTGCATGTATGAGATAATCAACAGGCAAATCATAAATGATTTTATTACATCACAGCCATAGCTGTATAATTGGAACTTAAGTTCTCACGTCCACTAGCATTTTAAAAAAACAAACCCAAAACATTACTTCCAGTTTGAGCAAGGGAGCTGGGCAGCACACTTGCATCTTCTAGTTAAAAGAAACAAGATTTTATACATATACTACTCCAAAAGCAGACAACAGACTTCATTCAGATATTTTCTTTCATATATGCATATATTATATACATTTGTGTGTTGTGTGTAAGTATATACACACACACCCCAGCCCTCACTGACATTCCAAAGGATGCTCCTCCTAGGTTTGCCGTAACCCTGCCAGARAAGCAATGACAAAAACACCCAATAGATGAATGAATCACAAAAACGGCTCTGACATTACCGAGTACAGCATCAATGGATGGACAACCCAAACCCTGCACGATCTCCGGGACAGACAGAGGCAGCAGAAAGGTTTAAACGAAACTTGTTGCTTAACATCTCCCGAAAAACTGGTGCTGTGCTCAGGAACCATGGCTAAGTGATCCCGGGGCAGCGGCGGGGACGGGGGAAAGGCGGTGCTGCCCGTTCGGCTGTGCCTGCGTGCACAGGAGGGGCTGGCACTGTCCCCACCGCTGTCACCGCAGCCGCACGTGTTGTCCCCACGGTGTGACCGGTGCGGTTCCACYCGGCGGTTTCGGTACCGCGCTCCTGCCCCGGCTCCAGCCCTGGAGCGCTGTGGGGCCGCACCGCTCCCGCTGCCGTGCCCCTGTGCCCGCTCTGCCCCTGCCGCCCCACAGCCCAACGGGGCATTTCGGCACAGCGAGAGCGAGCACCCCCCGCCCCCAGCACCGGGTGCGGTGTCCCCTGGGGCTCCCGCGGCGCCGCTGTCACCGCCCGCCAGCCCGACCCTTCCCCTGCGGCCGGGGGTGTCCAACAGCGCCGGGCCCACGCCGCTCCGGCCCCAGCTCCCCCCGGGCCGTCTCCCAGCCCCGCCGGCGCGGCAGCGGCACAGCCCGGCTGTGCGCGGGGTGAGCGCCGAGCCGAACCGGGCACGGGCCGAGCCCAGACGGGGAGGGGGCTCCGGGCCGCCCCTTCCCCACGGCCACGGCCCCGGCCCGGCCCAGCGCGGGCCCGCCAGGCCTCGCCCTCCCCCTCGCACGGGCGCCCCAGGCCCGCAGCGGGCGCGGCCTCACCTGCGCTGGGCTCGGCTCCGGCCGGGCGGGGGGCGCTCAGTCCATGGGCCGGGCGGGACCGGCGCGGCGGCACAGGGCAAACACCAAAGAGAATGAGCGGGGCGGTGCGGCCCGCCGGAACTGACGGCACSGCGCCGGGGGCGGGGCCCCGCCACAGCCAATCCGCAGCGCCCGAGCCCCCAGCGGCACCGCCCCCCGCCGCTCCTCTGACCAATGAGCGYGCAGCTCTGCCGGGAGCGCCGTCCTCTCCGAGGCGACTACAAATCCCGGCATGCTCTGCGCAAGCGGCGCATAGATACTACAGCTCCCGGCATGCCCCGCTGGAGGCCGGGGGCGGGGCCTGTTCGCTCGGCCCGCCCACTCCCGGAGCGCTCCGGTGCAGCCCCGCCCCGCCCGGAGCGACCGCGACCGCGACAGCGACAGTGACCGCGACCGCGACAGGGACAGCGACAGCGACAGAGACAGCGACAGGGACAGTGACAGCGCCAGCGCCAGCGAGCGCTCCGGAGCGGGCAGCCTGCGTTCGGGGACATGAGCCGTCGGGACACGGAACGCAGCCGGGCCGGGGCACGGGCGGTCCCGGCCAGGGCAGGGCAGGGTCGCTGCAGGAGGGAGCGCAGATGTCACCARCGCACCCGGGGATGAGCACTGAACCAACAGAAATGTCCCATTTCAGAGCACGCGGGAAGGAAAAGCGGTGCCAGTGAGATCCAGATGTAAATGAGCGGCCAGGACAGGGCCCCTCGGGCTCTGCAGGGAGGGCACAGCGGCACCGGGGCTCTGCCTCTGAACCCAACCCTGCTCCAAGCAATGGCAGCCACACTCCTCCAGCTGCCCTCTGCACCTGTAACGTGCCTGCTTGTGTAGTATCTGCAGACAATTCAATACTATTGAATATTATAATAAGTAATTGAATATTAAAATATACTGCATTTAATACTTGCACATAATTAAAGCAAATACACATGTAATTCACAGGCCCAAGGAGYACTTGGCACCCCACATCAAATATCCAACACATTTGTTCTTTCATTTGAAGGACATTTATTCCTGTATCATCTGAATGATTATTAGTTATTCAAAAATGTTCAAAAAACTTGTCCACTCTTCTTCGTGCAAGAACGGTGTAAATGCCTGGAACGGTGTAAATGCCTGGAACGGTGTAAATGCCTGCAGGACCACTGTGAGGGGAGATTGGGCACAGCTCTGCTCTCAGCTTCTGCTGCTGGATGGATCTGACAAAAACTTATTTCTAAGCAGAAAGGATCAAACTGTTTTAAAAATCAAGGTCTGGTGGCCTCATCAGAAAATTGCCAGAAGGAGATGTCTGGCTGGCTGCGAGGGTAACTCCTAGCACATGAAGAAACAGAGAACTTGAACTTTGCTTTAGTAAGAACACAGCACAGTCCCTCAGCAGCATGAAGGGCACTGCTCCTCAGGATCAAGACTGCAGTGTCTCACTCCAAGAAATACCTATGRAAAAAGGGGACCTGACACTGTGTGACAGACCAAGCACAGAAAAACCTGTTGGTGCTGACTCCTTTAATACATTTTCAGGTACTTAGTAATTCAAAACTGTTTTCCAGGAAAGTAATTTCTTTATAAATGAAGAGGTTTGGCCAGAATGCACTCTTACACAGGTACCAGGAACCCTGAAAGACAGTAGATTCTGCCCTGTTCATCCCTCAGTAAATTCAGCAGCTTTTGTGACACAAG